ATATATATATTATATATATATATATATATATATATATATATATATATTTATTTATTTATTTATTTATTTATTTTTAATTTATTTTTATTTTTATATTTTGAAGTGAATTTTGTGATTAATTGCTGTTTTTTGGATTTTAAAGTTCTTGTAATTGTTTGGTTTGCTTAGTATGTTGCTGTGGAATCTTCATTTAATTGCGAGTTACTAACTCTCAATTCCAGTTCTGTACTCGTGCCAAATGCTATCAAGCATTGGGATTAACTGGACACTCGTCATATTAGGGATCTGAGATACTATATGAAAATTTCAATATTGAATCTATCTTTTACCAATTGAGAGTAAGGCAGTGGCGTCAATGGTAAGTGATTATTAAGATTTTTCATGTTAAAATGCCATAAAAAATATTGTGGGTGTGTGATTTAGTTTCGTGAAAAATTTGATTTACAGCGGAATGCTTTTTGAAACTCATAATTTACTCTTCCGACTAAAATTAGAAAGAAATATGTCCCTAATTACGATATTGATTCGTTTCTAGTTGACATCTACTGGTCACATTCTGTCCATGTGCAATTATGTTCCTGTAATTGAATTTGGTACTTTAAAGGGATTTCAATGGGTTTTCTCCTTCAACATGCACTGCTGTCCGAGTGCCCAGATTTGATACATTTCACTCACGATAACTGGTTATGAAAGTTTTTTGGGCGGGATTATGAAGCTGGCAACCATCCCTTTTACTAAACTGGTAGCTCCTTTGAGCAGGATATTTGGGTGGATTTTCATATATTATAGCATAGCAATTGATATTTGCTTCCAGCGTATGTTATGATGTTAATAGTTTATGTATGTTAATCAATTAATATTTTAATGTGCAGTCTGAACTTTTTCTCATCATTGGTCTATTCCCTGCTAGGCGCAGTCAAATTATTGTATCTCCAGATTCAGTGATGACTTTAATTTGCAAGGCTCCTTGCGTGATAAACGACAATCATCCTCTAAATGAACTAAAGGTTACTTACACTGGTGACTAAACCTTGATTATGAAGAAACACAATTTCTGACTTCTTTAGATAATGCATAACCATGCATGCGAATGTGAATTGTACAGCTTCATGTATTTTTCTTACCTGGCTTCTTGATAGAAATATACAATGTATCATCAGTTATCGATATTATATCCTTTTGATGGCAACTGTTACTGATCTACAGCTCAATGTTCTGAGCTCTATCCCTTCTCTCCTTTGCCGTTCTTACCATTTGCATTGCTCAAATTGTATCCTTTATCATAGATGCATTTTCTATTCACTTTTGGTGAGGGCAAGTAGACCACCTATACTTAGTACTTGATTTCAAAATGCAAGCGAAAGGAACCTTGCACGACTCACTTCTTCAACGAAGAAAAAAAAATATTTTTTAATTAATCATATATATATAATTTATAGTTAATTAACCCAGATGACACCCAGGAGCTTGGATCTCTCTCATGCATCATTGGAAATATAAGGCTGAGGGCCATCAGCCATGTAGGAGTTCAGATATTAGCTTCTTCATTATTTCATATTCTGTGGTGGGGATGCTACCTAGTGCAGTCTTTGTTAAAGTTATACATAAAATCTCTTAAAGCTAGGGTTTATCAGATATTAGAGAAACCCACAACAGTTCTAGCGACAGAAATCATCAATTTTTTAAGTCTTCTGTTGGTAACTCTAAATGTAGCAGGTAATAATCTTGTGAAGCGTGAAAGTACTTTTCACCTAATATTCATGTTTTCTGAATTTGTTAAAGATGCATCATAATGATTGTATCATAGTATCTTCTATTTTTTTGTTTCACGTTTGATTTCTGATTTTATATGAGCTAAGATGTTCAATTAAGCACTTTTGGGATTTTATTGAGAACTTAATCAATATCTTTCAGATAACAAATACCATCCAGACGAAATTTATTGTTTCTTCGTCCCAGCTCCTGTATCAATCTTGTCCTTATCAAACAATTACCCTGCTTCTATCTGGCTCATTTATTGACAAGATTTTGACTAACTGAAATACATTTTCTTTCAACAATGTGCTAATTATACAAGCAAGTAATTTGATTTCCAGATCTTTGTCACTATTGTTTTCCCCTATAACTAGTACCAGACTTGATTTCATCGTCAGATTAAAAGATTTTTGTTGTTTAGTCCTACCTGATGCATGCCTTTGTAATTTTTTTTTTTTTGCACATTCCTTTTTGATCGGTATAACATGTCTGTTGCATATCAGGTTCTTTACCATATCACGACTTGTAGGTACCTGATTTTTGGTTTACTTCGAGATTCATTCTGTGAAGTAACATCTTTTGCATAATGATTGCTTTGTTTGGTTATCTGTCATCCCAGGTAATCATAAAAAAACTCGCAGAAGTATCATCACAGCTTCGCGCACAAGATGTTTCATGTTATTCCTTGAAATCTTGCAACATACTATTCAGTATATTCTATCTACAATGAGAAGGATGTGGAATGGCTTTATGCTTCACTAATTTCCCTGTTTGTGCACCTTTCCATCTAAATGAAGCTGTATCTGATCCTTTTTTACATGTGGAGAATGAAACTGGGACATAAAATAATGATGCAGCCCCAAAGCCCACTCAGTGTAAATCAGCAAGCATTTTGCCCGTAATATTGTAGAGATTGTTAACACTACAATGGGCTTGACTTATACTACTGCTTACTAGGGGGTGCCAAGAAGACAAAAGCTTTTCCAGTTTAAAAAACAATCACACAAATTCAAGGAGTAATCTTCTCTCTTTGTACTTACAGTTTATATATATGATGTGCTAAGGTTCTTCAGTAATACTTAATTTGATGTGCATTTTCCTGATTCTGGTGAAATTAAGAGGACACTTCTAGCTTACAGATTTTGATGTCCTTGTACATTTGAAGATAGTCTCAACAGTAGGCATGAAGGCTTAGTTACCAGGAAAACTTTGTTATTCAAAGAAGATACAACAATCTGATCTTGCAACATTAATAGTAGTTTTTGGCTATTTTAGAGAGAGAGACATGAGGAAAAATACCCATGTCTACATCCCTAAAAATCAACTACCAGACCTGGTGGTTTGTCCCCATCCGCAAGCTGGAGTCCTTTAAAAGGATAACATGTCTATCTTGAATACTTATTAAAATTATACATGCATCTTGGCAAGATACTATTTTCAGGCTCCGACTCCCTGAGGTAATTAATCTTCATAGTTAACATGTTCAGGTCAGGAGATCGGCTTCCAAGTCATTATTGCCACCTTCAATTTCCTGAGTAAGTTCCTTTGCTCTGCTGGCTTGTTGTTTCCAATCAGTGCAGACCAGAGTGCAGACCATCATGCATGTACATGAAATTTGTGCTGCAGCAAGCCCAAACCACAGCCCCTTAAAGCCCATGTTAAATTTGAAGGCCAATATAACTGCAACAGGCAAACCAATTAGATAGAAGGAGACAAAATTGATCTGACAGCCCATCTTGGGCCGGGCCGAGCCTACTAAAATTCCACATGCCAGATGACACCCAGGAGCTTGGATCTCTCTCATGCATCATTGGAAATATAAGGCTGAGGGCCATCAGCCATGTAGGAGTTCAGATATTAGCTTCTTCATTATTTCATATTCTGTGGTGGGGATGCTACCTAGTGCAGTCTTTGTTAAAGTTATACATAAAATCTCTTAAAGCTAGGGTTTATCAGATATTAGAGAAACCCACAACAGTTCTAGCGACAGAAATCATCAATTTTTTAAGTCTTCTGTTGGTAACTCTAAATGTAGCAGGTAATAATCTTGTGAAGCGTGAAAGTACTTTTCACCTAATATTCATGTTTTCTGAATTTGTTAAAGATGCATCATAATGATTGTATCATAGTATCTTCTATTTTTTTGTTTCACGTTTGATTTCTGATTTTATATGAGCTAAGATGTTCAATTAAGCACTTTTGGGATTTTATTGAGAACTTAATCAATATCTTTCAGATAACAAATACCATCCAGACGAAATTTATTGTTTCTTCGTCAATCAAGTCAGGAATGGAGTATTTGATATAGGTCCAGGCCACCAAAGATGTACTCTCATCTTGACCTAACCATGAGAAGATGGGTTCCAAGTTTAACCACAATATGCAGATTGGAAAGGTTGCTACCAAGAGCAGAAATAGAGTTTTTTGGAAGGTTTGACTGAGAATTGCCCATCTCTTTGCTCCATAAGCCTGACATTTTCTTTCAACGATGTGCTAATTATACAAGCAAGTAATTTGATTTCCAGATCTTTGTCACTATTGTTTTCCCCTATAACTAGTACCAGACTTGATTTCATCGTCAGATTAAAAGATTTTTGTTGTTTAGTCCTACCTGATGCATGCCTTTGTAATTTTTTTTTTTTTGCACATTCCTTTTTGATCGGTATAACATGTCTGTTGCATATCAGGTTCTTTACCATATCACGACTTGTAGGTACCTGATTTTTGGTTTACTTCGAGATTCATTCTGTGAAGTAACATCTTTTGCATAATGATTGCTTTGTTTGCTTATCTGTCATCCCAGGTAATCATAAAAAAACTCGCAGAAGTATCATCACAGCTTCGCGCACAAGATGTTTCATGTTATTCCTTGAAATCTTGCAACATACTATTCAGTATATTCTATCTACAATGAGAAGGATGTGGAATGGCTTTATGCTTCACTAATTTCCCTGTTTGTGCACCTTTCCATCTAAATGAAGCTGTATCTGATCCTTTTTTACATGTGGAGAATGAAACTGGGACATAAAATAATGATGCAGCCCCAAAGCCCACTCAGTGTAAATCAGCAAGCATTTTGCCCGTAATATTGTAGAGATTGTTAACACTACAATGGGCTTGACTTATACTACTGCTTACTAGGGGGTGCCAAGAAGACAAAAGCTTTTCCAGTTTAAAAAACAATCACACAAATTCAAGGAGTAATCTTCTCTCTTTGTACTTACAGTTTATATATATGATGTGCTAAGGTTCTTCAGTAATACTTAATTTGATGTGCATTTTCCTGATTCTGGTGAAATTAAGAGGACACTTCTAGCTTACAGATTTTGATGTCCTTGTACATTTGAAGATAGTCTCAACAGTAGGCATGAAGGCTTAGTTACCAGGAAAACTTTGTTATTCAAAGAAGATACAACAATCTGATCTTGCAACATTAATAGTAGTTTTTGGCTATTTTAGAGAGAGAGACATGAGGAAAAATACCCATGTCTACATCCCTAAAAATCAACTACCAGACCTGGTGGTTTGTCCCCATCCGCAAGCTGGAGTCCTTTAAAAGGATAACATGTCTATCTTGAATACTTATTAAAATTATACATGCATCTTGGCAAGATACTATTTTCAGGCTCCGACTCCCTGAGGTAATTAATCTTCATAGTTAACATGTTCAGGTCAGGAGATCGGCTTCCAAGTCATTATTGCCACCTTCAATTTCCTGAGTAAGTTCCTTTGCTCTGCTGGCTTGTTGTTTCCAATCAGTGCAGACCAGAGTGCAGACCATCATGCATGTACATGAAATTTGTGCTGCAGCAAGCCCAAACCACAGCCCCTTAAAGCCCATGTTAAATTTGAAGGCCAATATAACTGCAACAGGCAAACCAATTAGATAGAAGGAGACAAAATTGATCTGACAGCCCATCTTGGGCCGGGCCGAGCCTACTAAAATTCCACATGCAGCTGTTTGAGGGCAATTCCATAGTTCACAAAAACCTATAATGGGAAGAGCAATTGACGTCAAACCAAGTATTTCTGGCTTACATGTAAACAGTTTACCCCAAACATCTCTTACTGCAATGGTAAAAAGGATGGCCAAAGATCCGCAAAGAACAGCCAGAGTCAGTCCAATGATAGTTGTCTGTTGAGCCTGTCCTGGTTTATCAGCCCCTAGTTCATGGCCTACCAGTATTGACAATCCTGCACTTAGGGAAGAGGGAAATACATAAAGTAAGCTTGTGGTTTGTATTAGAATGCCCATTGCAGCTACACTTGTCTGTGGGTTGCTTAATAAACTGCATAGTAGCAGCAGTATCTCATAACACCACCACTCTAGGCACACAGAAAATACACTTTGGCCTGCAAGGGCCAGAAGTGGATGCCATCCTTTGGAAAATGCATTACACGTGGCGCCATCCCATGGTTTTAGTGAGGTTTCTGATAGTAAAAGGTAAATTAGCAGACCAAGGTTTACATTTAAAGTGTTCCAACCTGAGGCTAGGGCAACTCCTTTGACCCCCATATCTAAATACACAACCAGGAAGTAGTTGATTGGAAAGTGAAGAAACATTGCAAGGGTTACTGATAAAGTTAGGGGCCTGTTTATATTTTGTGTTCTTAAGAATGTTCTTAAGGGATAGAAGTAAGCTTGAGCAATCAAGTCAGGAATGGAGTATTTGATATAGGTCCAGGCCACCAAAGATGTACTCTCATCTTGACCTAACCATGAGAAGATGGGTTCCAAGTTTAACCACAATATGCAGATTGGAAAGGTTGCTACCAAGAGCAGAAATAGAGTTTTTTGGAAGGTTTGACTGAGAATTGCCCATCTCTTTGCTCCATAAGCCTGATAACATATTGGTTCCATCCCCATGGCCAGTCCTTTAAGAACAGAGTAACCTGTTATGTTGGCAAAGCCAATTGACAATGAACCCCCTGACAATGCCACATCTCCAAGATGCCCCAAGAAGAGCATAGAAATGAAGGACTTCGAATACATGAGTAAGCTTGCTACAATGATGGGGCATGCTATGTGGCCTAGCGACATCAACTTCTCAGACACCTGCATCGGATCAATATTCCATTAGACAAAGGAATTGCAGATCAACCATGGAAATGAAGATTATGGCTTGTCTCTATCTGTTTAATACCATTACCATTAATTTGAGGAACATGATAGACTTGATGGTTATGAAAAGAGTACTAGATTTGTGTCAAATGTCTTTAACCATGAGAAATGAGTAAACTTCTTCTTCTTCTGCATACCAGGACCTTGAGTCACAGGCATCCAACTTTCTATATAATAGCAAATACACTTAACCTAGAAAAGTACCCAGCGTGCGTGTAATTCATTAACTGAAAAGTTGAATTGGTTTCATATAAAGAAAAAGTTAAGGATTACCTCAAGCCTGTGCATGTGAGAAACGCGTAATAGTAATTATTGAATATTTTGGGGGTTTATCTTCTTTACATAATGGACTAGGAAGAACTTTTGACGCACACGGAACATGATATGATGCAGCGTCTTCTTTTGAGAAACTGATTTCTATTCACATTTTTTGCTTCTGTGAAATTAATTCTCTTTGATTTCTTTGTAATAATGCTGATTGTGTAATGACCTATTTTTCATAATTGAAATGCATAAAATATCATAATAATTTGGAATAAAATTTGGATTTGCATAATTCATACGATATTATTAAGTTGCTTTTTATGCAATTCATACGATATTATTAAGTTACTTTTTATGCATTTTCCCTTTTGGTAGATTGGGCGGAAATTCAGGTTTCCACATTTTGAGTGGGTAATCAAAGTTAATAAATTGTATTAATTTAAACCAAATAAAATGTAGAAAAGGTTTTGGCTGAAGCTAAAACGTGTGAGTTGCTCGACCTTTCATATCTTTCCCTCAAAAACTGCTTTTGAGTTTATCTAGTGATCTTCCCGTCTCTTCTAAACAAAAAATAGGAATTCTATTTCATTTTTATTTCCTTTGGCCGAATTTCATTAATTTAGAGCCAAGATGCATACTAGCGAAAGAAACATCTTTTTTCACTCTATATTAACATTTCTGGTCATTCTCACTCATCAATGAAAAATTTACTTCTAGCTAAAGTTTGTAAAGAACACTAGTTTGTAATTCCCTTTTAGGAACTGGTAAAATGATCAACATGCATAACTGTCATAGCAAGTTAGGCACGATCCTGGCGCTTTACTGTTGACTTCTGCAACTATTTATAATAAATTTGAATGATGTCTGACTTGACTTGACTGATGCACATGCTTGGTGGAGAAACATTCATGTGACATTAGAGTCGTCAAAATCACATTTTTTATTGGAACTGAAGCGAACTCTTTTAACAGTTAATCTAATTAACTAGCAAAGAAATTTAGAAGCCCTTCCGTTCAACTTGGAATTTGAGAGAAATCTGTTCATATTAGAAATTAAAGTGTAAGAGAAAGTTCAATTTATAGAAGAGAAGTTAAAGGGTATATGGGATCAATTAGCTAGATGCTATTAGTGTTTCTTAAGCTTTCAACTTTAAAAAATAGTATTTAATTGGGGCATTAGATTTTTCTTTTTATGTGGAAAGAACAAAAGGAATTGACAGAAGGGTGGAGACGGCGAGCTAAACCTTATAAGGATAGAGGTGGTTGGGATGGGGATAATGTGGGGTGGAAATAGATGAAGTATAAAGAAAATTGTAGCTTTTGCTGCCATAAGGAGTCATCAAACATTATATAGTGTCATCTTCTTCGGAGGGATAATGAAAAGTGGCATGTGATAACTTGAAAACTTCTCCTACTTTATCACATAGAGAAGTTAAGCTGATTATTAAACATGGTAAGCTAGAAATGCATTAAAGAAATGCTTGTGAGCAAATTTTATAGTACCATTAAAAGATGATGAATGATAGTTATGATCTTATTTATATGCTAAGTAACAAGACGAATTGAAACTTACTCAGAGAAGCACATGTGGTCTGTTGATGCATCTCTATTTAGATTTGTATTTGCTATGGAAACCATTTAATCTTGTTAAGGATGAACCTGTGCTTTACAATTTTTGCTCAAGCACAGTGGCCATAGTTTTAAAAAGTTGTGAGAGGCTCTCTATTAATGCCTTGAACATATTGCATGTCATTCTCAAAGCTTATTTCTCAATTTACCAAAGGCCAAGGCCATCGTGAGACAGGTAAAGTGTGTGCTTTTTTATCTTACCTTTCATGGACATTTTATAACCAGCTTTAGCTTTTGGGCCATTTATTTATTTATTTATTTTTTTTTTCTGCATTTACATGGAAGGGGAAGGGAGCAATGCAAGTGGAGGGTGAAACAAAGAATGGAAAGAAATTGGCAGTATGGGAGACCGATCTTTAGGTTTTTAACTCTAGTAGTAAAATCCAATTTTTTCATGTGATTACAAATTGATAATTTACTATTCGCTACTTTATGATCTATTATATATTTCTTTTGCAAATTGTTTACGGAATTCATATAGCCTATAAGTAATGACCGCATTCTGGACTTCTATATTCTTTTAAATTATTTTATTTGTTTATTTTCAGACTTGCCCCTCAAAAAACCTTGAGGCTTACACCTTGCTGATTGACATAAAATGCCTTGGTGTCTGATTGAAACTTTCCAAACATTGATTATGACATAAAGATCAGAGAGTGAAATGTCTGAAATGTAAGCTTATTGTAATAGCAAATCTATACAGTTTTAGTCTAGGTTTCCTAGGAAGTAGGAACCTGCTTATACAAAGCATTCATGACTTGAAGTAGTCTATATAACTTTGGTGTTGAAATTTCAAGAAGAGTTTGGATGTCCATTCTTCCAATCAAACTTTTCAGTGTCAACATCTACATATATATGATTTGATTTTAAACTAGTACAGAATATGAATTTGTTATGCAGTTGAGCTGAGACATTCTTTTAAGTCAAAGTAATACTGCTTACCGGCATCCATTCTGGAAATCTGTGAGAAAAGAAACTCTCCTTTTCCGTTCCATTATGCTGACCATTTTCTCCTTCAACCTTGATTGAATTGTCTTCAGTTACTGCCAGAAACTCACATGCGAAGCAAATGGTCGGCAAAGTTCCTTGAAATGAAACATTTCCCATGGCAATGTAAAGAGGGTGAGGTCCAGAAAGTAGGAAATCAGGTCAGTGCAATTGAAATTTGCTTTCATGTCTCTCCTTTTTATACTTCCCCAAAGGGAGATTTTATTGAGGTATGGCCTTAGTATTAACAAGCCCTAATTGTCTTGTTCGATGCTACATTGCTGTCTATCTTAGATGGGTTATCTATGGGTTTTGGATGTATTAGTGAGGAAAATATGGATATCAAGAATAGAGTAGTGGACACAAGTTAAAGACTGCAACTAACATTTACTTGGGTTTTCACTTATTTTTTCTACTTGAACTTGTATAGAATCCGTGGAAAAGAGTTTATATGGATAGCATATAGAATTTGCATATAAAATGTTTTTTAATTTTTACTCTTAGCACATTATTTGTCAGCGAAGGTGAAGGCTCGGGCAGGTATGACATGGTTGGGCTAACTAGACTAAATGCGTCGATTACCATGTAGTTTCATTATTGCATATTTAAGATTTATTTTTAAGTTATGGACTAGAATAATGCTAGTATTCATCCTATATGGTAGTTTGTTATTCAAAGAATTAATGGATGACAAGATAATAATAAGTTGCCACATATGATGATTATTGACAGCCGCTAGCCGCTGACTATGAATAACATTATTCAATGGACTACACTTACGTTTTCGAAATATAATTTGCAAGCACACACACATAAGGTAAGGACTAACAGTAGATAAGCAAAGTTTCCAGTAGAAAATTGAAAGCAAAATTGATCAATTGAAAAAGCCAAACATCCTTAATAATTGACAAAAAATTACCCGTATGCTACGCTGTATTAAAGTTTATTAAAATTTATAAATAAATCAAAATTAAAAAAATAAATCAATAGAAATTAAATTGTATTCTTTCTCTATGTGTAAAATGATTTACCAAATATTTTAATCATAGTCAAAAGACTTCATAGTTATAGGCTAGTTTTGAATTTATTTATTTATTTTTATTTTTATCTAGTTTTATTTAAAGACGTTTATGTTGAGGACAAAAAATTCATCGACATTATGTCATAGAAGAAGCCAAAATTGGCCTGGAATTTCTCCACGGTCCAAGCCAATATTTTTGGATTTTACAAGTGGAATTTGGATTATATTCTGTTTCAGCTTTGTTGGTTATGTGGTATCTCTTACCAATTCTTTATTTTTATGTTTATGTTTATTTTTAGTTACTAAACATTGGCAACTCATCATTGGTTTTTAAGAGTTAACAATCGGTGGTTTCAAAAGAAAGAGTCAACCTTTGGTTTGAGATTTGTTTGTGTAGTAAACAAGTAAATTTCAAAAACTTATATCATTAATTCCAAAGAATTTTCCGACAAGGTCTTAGTACAATGGCTTAAAGAGCACAAGGCTAAATTTATCAAGATTACAACATACACATTGTCCTTTTTATTTTGAATAAATTGCAACAAAGGTCTCAAACCTTTAATAAATATGTAGCCCAATTTCAAAAAATCTTCAAATCGTATTTAGCTATTTACAATATCTTTCAATAATTGTGTGCATGAAAGACCTCTTTGATTAATCCATTCAAAAATTCTTTAATTGACTAAAAGTTAAGTGTGTGTCTATTTTTTTAATGAGTAATGCTATTTAGCATGACTGAGATTATAATCCCAATTTATGTAGTGTTAAGTGATATGCTAAATAAAAATTGAAATTAAATTACTCATTTAATTGTATCTATTATTTAATGTCATATTAGCGCCACATAAATTGTGGTTATAATCCAGTACGGTTAATTATTATTACTCTTTTTTAATATGGCAAAATGGTTTCTTTGCACACTTCATTAATGAAAACAATTAGTTAGTTAAAAATAAATAGAAAAATAAGAAAAGAATTAAAAAGAAAAAAGAAAATTCCCCGAACTTTCCCCCCCATGCCTACCCTAGCTAAAACATGTGTTAGTTTCTCACGTGGCCACATATCACATTCTTTTCGAAGTAAAGCGTACAGCTAGGAAAGCAAATGGTTCAATTGACCAACTTTCAACAGCAGAAGCAGTCTTGAACTGGTAGTGATTGATTATAAGCCTTTGAATCACTTCCTCGTTGATGACAAATTCACTCTTTCAAAGAAATGGAGTTTATTTGCCAACTATCTGAAGCAAATATATTTTCGAAATTTGATCTAAAAGTAGGATTTTGGTAATTGGGGATCAAGGAAAAAGAAAGATATAAGACAGGATTTTGTATCCAAACTATCACTACCAGTGGAAGGTTATATCGTTTGGTCTTAAAACAATCCTTTCATTGTTCCAAAAGGCTATAACAAGAATTTATCATTCAATATTAGACTCAGCATTGATATATATTGATGATATTCTTTTGTTCTCAAAGGATGCAGATGCACATTGTCAGTTATTGTCACAATTTGCTGATCTAACGAAACAATTTGGAGTTATGCTTTCCTAAAAGAAAATGATTATTTGAGTTTATGAAATTGATTTCTTGGGTATGCATATCAAAGATGGTCAGTACTCATTAAAGCCACATGTAGGACAAGAATTATTAAAGTTTGTAGATACTGATCTCTCCAAAAAAAGATTCAATGGTTCCTTGGAATTGTGAACTACATGGCAGACTTTGTTGATCATCTATCTCCTATTCTCAGACCATTACAGAACATGCTAAAGAAAGATGGATCACCATGGTCTTCAGAAGAAACGGAAATAGTTCAAAAAATTAAATAGAAGGTCCAAGAACTTCCATCCCTAGCCATCCCTATTGATGGGAAAAAAAAAAATCCTTCAAACAGATGCAAATGATCTATACTAAGCAGCAGTATTCTTGGAGGAGAAAAATGAAAAAAGGAATATATGTAGATACAAAGGTGGATTGTTCTTAGAAGCAGAAAAGCATTACCACTCCACTTTTAAAGAGATTTTGGTAGTCAAACGCAGTGTTAAGAAATTTCAGTTTTATCTCATCGGACATAAGTTTCTGGTAGAAATGGACAGAATGGTTCTCAAATTTTGACTTAGATGTTAATCACATAAAAGAAAAATCCAACCTTTTTCCAGACTTACTCACTAGGTCAAAACTTTTTTCTATCCAACCAATTCCCATAATTTGCATGGTGAACCTCCTTATTCTTTATTTTCCTAAAATGATCTAATCCCTCCGGAACTCAACAACCTTATTCGAGACAAAACTCTCCACTCTAGGTTCAAAGAACTCGTGTTAAAATACCAATCCATTGTTATCAAACAGACTAGATTTGAAACACTTGGTGGTCTTGAATTTCATCCAGACTATCATTTTTTCACATTGTTCCATATAATTTCACATCAAGTAGTTTTTTTTCAAAAGAATTGTTTTGCTTCCTGTGGTATTTATTGAAACTTTATCAAATTGGAATCTCTTTCAATGTTAGTGACTCTCTTGAATAGTTCAAAGAAATTAGTTTTTGAAGTTTTAATAAACACGATCCATTTCAAGAAGCACATGCTAAAGCAAAAAAGTTTTTTCAATGGTTTTATTCTATTTCTCATTGGATAAAAATGTTTGAAGCATTTTCTTTAAAATTCGAAGACCTGAGAACTTCTCAGGACAATGTTTTTGTTATCTTGGTTTTTCAAAGGCAAGGTTATTTTACAGATAAAGGTTGATATGAGCATTTCTTTCATGTTAAGGAGTATGCAATCGAGCCTTTCAATCTTCACAAAGATTGGGAAAGGTGTTATCTAAAACAGTTCCATGAATTCTAAAAAAAAAAAAAAGGGCAGAAATCGATCAGACAATTCTTCCTCAAATTTGGCCAGATATAAAAAATGATGCACCATGGAAAATTTTGCCTCTAGACTATATAACCCAGATTCAGCAAGATATTCAAAAATACAGATAATTACAGTGCCAACTTTTTTGGACAGACCTTTGGACACTATTCAATTTCTTGTCAAGAAAAGGACATGACTGGATTCAATTTTTCTTAGGAAAGTCGCACCAATGCCTTGGAGAAATGTCTAAGTATTCATAAATAACACCACAAGGACAACAACTTTGTGAAAATCTTTAGAATGAATTTAATGAAAAAATGAAAATTGATAAAATGAACGTGAACAAATCGGGACCAAGTAATTCAAATAATCAGACTTCTAAATATTTGGACCTAAACGACAGTGTTTTCCAAGACTCTCAAGATCCATTTGACTATGGAACATAGACATATGATTTTGATCCAACAGATCTAGATAATCTTGAAAAATTAGAGGAAAAACTCTTTGAAGAAAAAATTGATAAAAAAAAATTGGCCTTGATGGAAACAACATGGACTCTCATCTGATTCATATTATTTAGATGTAACTGGATGAGTAGCAAATCTTAGAACGCCATGATGACTCAACACATTTGAAAACCTTATCATTTTGTCGTTTATAATAAATGATCTTTTTTAAAGTAGATTCCTTGCTTTTAAAAGATACTTTGTCGTTATGTAATATTATTGTACCTGTCTTAGGACCATTACCATACTTTATTAAAAGTAGTGGTAAGTTGTTTGTTTTCTTGTATAATTATTATCTTTGTGTCAGTTGTCTTATCATACTTTATCAAAAGTAGTGATGAATCATTTGTCTCATTGTAAAATTATTGTACTAGTATATTGGTTGAATGAAGGATCTCCTCTATATAAGGAGCATTTATTCTTCATTGTAAGGCATCTTGAGCCCAATTTTTATTAAATAAAGAAGTGCGTTTTTTATCCCTATAAGTTTCTAAAACCCTTCTTGTTCTTCCAAAATCTTAACGACTGTAATAACACCATGATGAATGGTAAGAGCAAGATCTAAGTAGTACCATAAGTATACTCCGCAGTTACCTCTCTGAGGATCCTCTGCATTGGAAAAAATGGTACTACTGGTCATAAGATTCGATATGGAGGTTTGATAATCTTTGTAATATCAAAAGTCAGGCCCTGTGTTGTTGCCTAAGAGAGGGTTTGTTGCGGGCTAGAATACCGTGTATTATAGAGGTTGTCATCTCCTACTATATTGGTATAGAGCCA